AAAATCATACTGGATGATTAGTTATACATAAAAACCTCATTAGGGCATCCTTTGTTAAGTAAGATTGATTAATTAATCGTACTGGATGATTCAGATTGTATAGGATGATCTGTTATAAGAATGAAAAACAATCGTCAATCACAATTTAGGCACTATTTTTGTCTTCAAATTTTGTTCTAATCGTACAGTACAATCTATATTGTAATAGAAGATTTGTGTTAATCATGCCTAAATTAATCCTATGATTAAGTGTATGATTATGGTTAAATTGTTCAATCAGATCATCTTGACGATTTGGACGATCATATGTGATGACCCGATTGCTGCATGAGATGATATTTAAATCGCCGCCCATTCTCCATGACGAAAACTATAAAATTTTCACTAATCGTATAGGACGATCACCAAGCTTCATACAGTACGGCCCGATCATTACATGAGACGATAATTGAAACGCCTGCCATCGTATTGGATGATCAGTGAAATATCTTGAACTAATCGTACAATCAATTGGAGGATTGTATAAGACGATCCATTCAAACTATTGAGCTAATCATCTAGACCAATGCATTCGTACTGGCTGAATATGTAATTACGTACTAATCGTAAAGGATGATCTCACAATTTTACTGGACGATTGGGAGAGCCATATTGAAAAATAGGGCTTCTTTGGAGGCTCTCTAATTTAAACCCTCATATTGTCCTTGTATCAATCTTTTGTTGTTGTCTTGTTCTGAGAGAGAGCTTAGAGAAGGAAGAGAGAGCTTTGAGAGAGAGATTTTTGTGAGGGGGAATTGTGAGGGATTCCCAAAGGTTACTTCAAGCAAGGTTTCCATCGTCTTCTTCAAGCTGCTTTCCTAATTCCTTGGTGGCTTTTGTTAAGAGAGTTGCTATGTACATGGTTTACATTCTTGCAACTTGTATAGTTTTAATGATTTCAATTTATGTGTAGTTGTCTCCTAACACTTTTTGAAAGATTTGTTTTTGCTCTTGTGTGTACTAACATTTCAGAAAAATCAAAATTCAGACTACGAAGACTTCAAATCAAATTCAGCATGAGATACTTTGTGTATTTAAAGCTTGTATTTTTCTTTGAATTAAGTTTGAGAGGGAGTGATTGTAATTGAGTGAATAAACACACACACTTAAGGAGATCTTGAAAATTTTGTATTGATCGTACAAGACGAGCATAGTTCGTACGGGACGATCAGGTCAGTTATCTCCTTATAAGAGCAATGGAACGAACGAGAATTGAAGAAAATATTTCTAAGTCCTGATTGTCCAGGACAAAGTGTATTCATCCCAGGATGAAATGTTCTCTGGAAAATTTTTGTTCAAATGAAATTTATATTTGTTCCAGGACGAGTTTCTCTCTGGAGTATTTTTGTCTAGGACGAAGTGTATTCGTCCCGGGAAGAAATCTCCTCTGGAGAATTTTCGTTCAGATGAAATTTGTAATCGTGCCAGGATAAGTTGTTCTATGGAAAAATTTTGTCTGAACGAACCCATATTCGTCCTAGGACGAAGTGAACCGACTCTAAAATTTTAGTGACGTTCTATAGTTTTTGGGAACCGACCTATGGAATAACCGTTTGTACCGGACGAACCTAGTTCATATGGGATGATGTGTGTGTACGAAGTCATTTCGTACATATATACATTAGGTTCGTTTCCAACGTATTTAAGTAAAATTGTCCAGGACGATCCACGATCGTACAGGACGATCCAATGCATATTGACTTGAAAATTTTCAGATTTTGGACGGTTTTTTATGTCTTTCCTATAAATAGTCCAATCCAAACTGCCACTTAATCTTTTTGCCTACTGATCTTCGTGCCTATTAAAAGAAGAGTCAATGAGAGAGTGTAAGAGAGTGTTTGAAGGAGGATTTTTACTACTGGAGCATGAAGGCTTCACTTGGTATTCAAAGGTAAGAATCTTTACTTTTGATTTGTGTTTACTTCACTCTTTTCTTTCTTCCTTCTTTATTATGAAGAAGATCTGTCAAGGAGATTCGGTTCTCTGCCGACACTTGGAGAGTGTGAACAGCCGAAGGATTCTTTGCCCACACTAAGAGAGTATAAAAGGATGACGGTTCTCTACCGACACTTGGAGAGTGTGAACAGTTGAAGGGTTCTCTGCCCACACAAGGACAGTGTGAAAGGATGAAGGGTTCTCTGCCCACACTAGGAGAGTGTGAAAGGACAAAGGGTTCTCTGCCCACACTAGGAGAGTATGAAAGGATGAAAGATTCTCTGCCTACACTAGGAGAGTGTGAAAGGATGAAGGATTCTCTTCAAACACTAGGAAGAGTGTAAAAGGACGACGGTTCTCTGCCGCACCGGGTAGTGGTGGAAGAGAGTTTAGTAAAGGCTTCTCCGCCTTGTTGTGGGTGCAAAAGGAGAGTCACTAGTGGTATTAGTGCAATACTCGGAGGGTTCCTCAGGGGAGTGGATGTAGGTCTGGTTTTGACCAAACCACTATAAATCTCGTGTCTTTATTTTTCTGCTGTTTTTTATTTTTGTGTTTTTACTTTTAAAATTGTGGTTGAAAAACATTTTCTAGAAAAATTCACAAAAGTTTTATTTTCATTTCCTAATTTAAAAAGAGGGTTATTTTTTTTTTAATTACCAATTCACCCCCCCCCCCCCCCCGTTAGCCGTGGGACATAAGCTTAAGTTTAACAGCCTAATTCATAGTGAACGAGTTTCAACAGCTTTGGGGAGACTTTCATCAACATCAGATCTAGGTTGTCTGCCTTCATCAATAGGGTGAAAAAAGATAGCAAGGTTCTCTGCCTACTCTAGAGAAGAGTAAAATGATCTCTAGGTTCTCTGCCTACTCCAGGAGGGAGTAAAAGAATTTCCAAGTTCTCTGCCTACTCTAGAAGGGAGTAAAAAGTTTCAAGGTACTCTGCCTCATCGGGTTGGTGGAAAGATTTTGTAAGGTCTTCTTCGCCTTGCTGTGGCGGCAAAAGAGAGACTACTTTTACTGCAATGCCTGGAAAGGAGGTTTTAGGGGAGTGAAAATTCCTACTTTCACTTTAATCATGTTGAGTGAATCAACCCAAATCAATCTATTTGTTGAGCCAAATTCATTAAGTAATTTCATCCCAAAAATAGGAATCAAAGTCCCATCGCCACTTTATCCTTCCAACCCAAGTTGGAAGGGTGAATTCCTCTCTCTGAACATCCAAAATTTCAATGAAAATCCATGATGACTTGTTGTGCAAATCTATATGCTACCTCCTTGTATTTTCCCAACACAAATTGGGTAAATAATCACCTTTCTTTAAACACCAATGTATTAAAAAAAAAACCCCTCCAATTTGCAATCTTTAAATTGTTTTTTCTTCTTCATTTTTTACAAGCCAAGATTGTAGAAAAACATCCAAATTCTCCTTCATTTGCCTAACCCTAAATTGGGCAATTGAATAGATCTCTTTAAAAACCAAATGTTCAAAGAATGTTCATGAATTTTTAATGCATAAGTTACATTTTCTCGTTCTATCTTCAACAAGGCTAAAAGATGTAAAAAATTTCTCATTTGCCTAGCCTCAAATTAGGCAAATGAACACTTCTCTTTGAACATCAAATGTTCAAAGAGTATTCATGAATTTGCAATCCCTAATTTGCATTTTCTCCTCCCTTTCCTCAAAATGAAAAATTGTAGGAAACCTCATAGCTTCCTAAGATTAAAAGACATAGGAAATTCTCTAACACCCTTCCTTGGTGAATTTCCTAAACTGAAATAAAAGTTTCCAAAAAGACTTTTGGAGAGTTTAGGACGGCATTGGCGAAGCATGGGAAATAAAGATCCTATTTCTCCTTCATTCTCTTACCCAAGTTGGATGGATGAACATTTTATGGATGCCCAAGAGTCCAAAGAATCATTCATGGTGATTTGTAACCAAACTTACATATCATTATCCTATGTTTTCTTTACCTACATTTAGCAAACTAAACTTTCATAATTGAAAACCAAATTCAATGGTTTTTCATTTCATTTTCTTAGGCTAATTGAGCAAATGCAGCCCTTCTTTGAATACAAAAATTTAAGGAGACATTCTCTTGATTTGTAGCCTAAAAGCTACAAGTCCTCCCTTATTTCTATGGGCTCCAAAAATCTTAGAAGACTTCTGACGTTAGCTTAAAAGCTATATATATCTTCTCTTTTTTCTCCAACCTCAAAGTTGTAGGGGATTTACATCTCTTGAACTCCAAATGTTGAAGAGAATTCTCCACCCCTTAACTCTAAAGCTTAGGGAACTTCCACTTCATCTACTTGATCCCCAAATCAAGTAGGTGACCTCTTCACTTATACCTAAACTCTAAGTAAACCTTTCACTTAACATAACAAGTTATCTTTTTTTGCTTTCATGATATTTAAATTACATAACTTTTAGATGTCTTTTAGGAGCTTCAAATTATTGGAGTTCATCTTATGCTATTAGATGAATTTTATAAAGTCCTGAGTCAAATCCTTACACATGCCTACCTTACCCGATTAGGTAGACACTTCTCTTATCCAAACACTAAGAGAACTCTTAAAAGTCTCTAAAATTGGTTAAGTTTTCTTTGATACAATGATCAATCTACAATGATCAATCATTCCACTCTAAAAGGTGGGATGTATATATTATTGTATCTTAGGACTTTATTAGTAGCATGGTTGCCTCGAAATAAATACTAACTACTTTATGGGCTCTTCATAACCCTCCTAAATATGAAATATTTAAAAGCCTAAAATCTTTAAGTCATATACAACTTAAAGTGATATCATTCATGGATTAAGATTAAACATCTTCATTCTTTAATAAAACAAAACATCCCTTATTGTGATATACCACATAGCCTACACAACTCCCAAGCTACTAAGATTAAGATTTTTCTTTCCTCTGCGTATACGGTTCATGCTTTTGTGTGATTGCTCTTTTGATTGTCTGTATTGTGCGCACTTGCCCATATGTGATTAGCATAGATATAAATATTTTCTTGCAGGTGGTTATGTCTAACAGGGGGAGCAATAAATAATAAATAAAATACTTGCTAATAGGTGCTGCTTAAAACCCCCCAAGGAGGTATGACCAATAGGATAAAAGTAGGGGCTTAACACTTTAAGTGCTTAATGATTTTGGCAGGTTTTTGTGTTTTCTTTTTTAAAATGTATTTGATTAGACTTAGGCTCTGCATTTGAGCTTGTGGGGTATATAGCTAAAGGAAAGGTAGATCAAGAGGATGAGCCTACCAAAGGTGAATTCCAAGAACTGCCAAAAGCTAATGCTTGAAGACCCCCAAGTCTATAATAAATTTGTTGGGTTGTATAATAGTAACCACTCAGCTGCCAAATTTGATTTTAATAATTTAGACATTTACACTTTTCCATGGTTGATTTTATATACAAAAGCATGTGTTGATTGTTTATTTGATTGTGAAATAGAAATACATGATTTTTTCTAGGTTTCTTTTTCTGCTTTGCTTGTGGGTGGCGTGGACATGTTTGATGTAGGAGGCACTTAGGACAAAATTACAATTTCTACTCATTAAAATATAAATAATCTAAAATCAACCTTAGGCTTCATGTTTTTCTGATGAAAAATTATATTGCTCTTTTCAAGGAGTCACGTTTTCAAATTTTGAAAATAATTTTGCATAACCTAGTGTGTCACATATAGAAAACCCTCATTTAAAAACTAGATAACAAAAATTTATATTTTTTGTGAGTTAATTTTATGCATACCTATCTTGCCAGGCGTCTTAGCCTCAAAGCCAAATTATAAGCCCTATTCTCTAAATAAAATAACTTTTCCTACTATTTATATATATTTAGACCGGATTTCATGGTTTTAAAAATATTCCGGTGAGTTTAGCTGGTTGCCTTTTCCAGGCAGAGTAATAAATTTAGAGGTCGAGTTGGCTAAGCATCAGGGGAGATGTAGTTTATAAGTCCCTTTATTGATATCCCAAAATCTAATTTGGAAGAATTATTCATTTATCTTTTAATAAACAACAATAAACAACAACCAGGGTTATCTAATATTATTTATGAGTAATTAACGGTATAACAAATTCTATAATTTAAAACATCAATATATACATCTATATTCAATCACAAAAATCATATACACTACTCAAGATCTATACAATCAAATCATAACTTCTATGTCCTTAGTACAAAAAAAAAATAGAACAAAAAATCTGAAAAATCCGGACCAGTCTCACAATCCTGCTCCTCTGTCTTGACATGAAATTATTTAACTACATATAACGAGCTTAAAAAACCTATCATGTAACCAAAACCTACAACTGGATTCAAAACACAGAAATGATAAATATGCATGTCAATAATGAAATCATAGCAGTTATATTCATATGATTATTAAATTAATGCATAAATAGAAAAATTCACATGTAGTAGTAGTAGATCTATAACCAGTAAAACACTATATTATGAAAGCTAGTAGAGTAGTAAACCAGTACGAGTGCCAAATCTAAAAAATAATCTTCGTAACTGTAATAACCAATTAAGAATGAAATTGGATAAAGTTTCAAATTAAAGCATCAATAAAGACAATTGAAATCAAATTAATGAAGTAAAATCATACAAAAGTATCCATACTATCTATGTATTATATATCACGTGCTTAATATATCATATGCATAACATCAGTCCAATGAATTAGTAGTATCAAATAGTATCAATATCCATATAAGTAATAATAATAATCTAGTGCACAATAGTAGTAGAATAATGCAATAACAATAAATTTATGTAGGAAAAATAAATTCGTACAACAATAAAAACAGGCATAAAAAACATGCATTTCAGTAATCACACTAAACAAGTAAGAAGTCTTGTCTATCATGGTGTTTTTCAATATTGTTTAAGTATCAGTAAACCGTTGATTTAGTAAATAGAGTCGTCACTCTTTGCCTGTCGGCATAATAATCATCTCCTTATAACTCCCAATAAGTATCATGTGAATCAGTATAGGATAACACCAAACCACAGTACTTAAAAGAAAGCCTAACGGCCCACTATCTTGTACAAGTGAATCAGTCTCCAACCAATGGGTCAACCCGTATTTATTTATCATTTACACAGTATTATTTTAGTACTATAACAATAATTTTAATCATAAACCCACATTCATTTTTAATGTATTGCAACAAATAAACCATAATTGAATTTCATTTAGAAAATGCCCAAAATGTCATAATGGTAGATAATAACGAATTCTATTAGGCAAAAATGTACATTTTTCAGAAAATTACCAAAATACATGAATTGTATAAAATGATGTTTTAAGACTTTTATTGTATTACACTACTATTTTTAGACATCAAAATAAATTTTTAGGTAGACAAAAATTTTTGTATTTTCGAAATCACATAGTGACAAATCTCAAATAAGTACTCAAAATACTCTTAATCATGATCTTTATAACATACAAAAAAGTAACGTGATAAAAATTTTGCCAATGGAAAGTTATTCACGTTTTTCGATAGCGAAAATATAAATATGATAAAAAAATATCAAAAATACAAAATCTTTAAAATAAAAAATAGGGTAAATGTTCCTTACAGTATGACTAGTAAATCTCCCAACTGGCCAGACTGACGAAAATCGTTCTACACCTTCCAAATATCAAATTTCTTCTCTCTAAGCTTTTCTCTTAGAATTCCTCAAATCATCTCTCTGTTTGTCGAATGAGAAGGGAAAAAGGTTTTAAAATCATTTCAAGTGCCTTAGGATATTTTTAATAAAATAATATTTTAATATTATATTATTAATTTAATTAATTTCCTTAGTATAAAATTCAAATAAATTATTTTAAGACTTTAAAAATTCTAGAAAATATTCATAAAATAAAACATATTATTAAAAAAATATCATAAAAATTGATTTGCAAAAAGGATACCCGGCGATCCCAAAATCCTCACTTGTACCAACATGTACAAAATTCTGAAAGATTTTCACCGGTATCCAAAAATTTCAAAAAAGTTTATGTAAAGTAAAATACCACAATAAAAATACTATGGCAAAGGCAAATTGAGATTTGGAGTTATAATGATTTTTAAAAAATTTGCATAGTTAAAATATGAGTTATTACAATCTACCCACGTTAAAAAAATGTCGTCTCTGATATTTCCCTTGAGGATTTCGGAAAAAAAAATCAATACAAATAAAATTTGTAAAATGAAAATTCAAATAAAATCAAAATCAACTAA